AAAAAAAATTCGTAATCACTAGCCGGAGGATTTTTAAGCGCAAAATTAGGAATTGCAAGACAATCATTCGCTTAAGGCGGAACAAATAACAACATCAACAACATGATAATGAGAGATTCTAACAGCGATAACAATGATAATATTGGAGCATTAGTGACAACGAAAGCATGTCCAACTTTGACTAATTTCTTCTCTCCAAAAACCACTGAATGATATTTCAGTATGTTGATAATGAGCCTAGAAGTTTGGGCGTCTTGACAAACGTGGATTACATTATGAATGGTAATTTATAGTGCATATTGTCACCTACAGCCGCAGACAATACTACAGAAAGAAGGGAGTTCCGATATGGCGATTTTAAAGATGTAGAATTAGAGCACGAAAAGCCGACAGGGCAAAAAGAGCCGTTGCCGATACTAGACGCCGCTACAAACTTGAAGGTTCAGAACGTATGCTTGCCACTCAAGACAAAAATGTTTGTTTACAGATTGACATCAGCTGGGATGAATGGTCATGTTGCTCTGCATGCTGCTGTTCAGGCATTCTTTGCGGTAAATTTTATACCAGCGATAGAAAATGGTGGGTTTTCTTTCTCAAGAAAATATGATACAATTCTTATTAGTTTCTATTAAACTAAAAAAAGGAAATTTAGCACTCTACTTTCACCCACTAAAGTACGAAAGGGATACCTGTCGCTCATGAAGATCGATCCAGATAAACCTGTAAGCGCTAATTCTGCAAAATACAACCTTACGCGTAACAGCTCTCATGAAAACTGAGAGCTTTTTTTTAATCACTTACAAAGTGATAGGATATTGATGTTGATCACCGATTATTGAAATCATTGGTACAGATATCACCTTGGGACGATGATGAAGTGAATAATGAATTCCAAAATATGATGTCAGTAAGCCCGTATCGTGAGCGAGGAATTGCATTATGGTCTACAGTCTGGGAAAATGTGAAAAGTCTTGAGCGCGCTAAACAGTACAAGGTAGATTATATCTTTCAGTCCTCATCTAGCTATTAGTTCCAGGACCAGCTATACGGAAATCGCTTCAAACAAGTGCTCAATAGTACTGCACCATTAATGGCTGCCCATCCAGGAATTTATATCGACGAAATTTCATGTAATGAAGAGAAGTACGATTGCGAAAAGTTGGCGAAGTGTTTAGGAATTGATATTAAGGCAAATTTTGAAGTCTAGTTATTTGGATTGATTGATTACTACAGGCACACATCGACAAGGAGGTAGAATCGGAGGCGGATCCTTGCGCTGAATATGAAACAGAAATAGAAATCATATTTATTGACCAAGAACATACTGACTTAAGGCATGTGCAGAATTGATACTTTGTGAAGGGTACTCAACTATGCATCTCCGACAGGTTGCAAATTGGTCGCAGTTATCGAATACGCTTGAGGGAAGAAGTCTTTGCCACGGATGCTACAAGGGTACAAACATTCTATTCTATCTTCTCTGTTATCTCGACATGTACTGGCACATATCCGGCTGTTTACGTCAGATATTCTCCAAAACGTCTTTTGGAAAGTTAACGAATGATTTACTTTGCAATACTCCTGCTTTCTTTTTCTGAAAATGAGGATTCCTGATAAGAAAGTTATACCTACTGACAGAAAAGCTTAGCA